GGTTCGCTCGCTGCCGGCTGGAGCGCCTGGGAGGAGGCGGCGGCAGCCCTTGCGCCGGGCCTTCCCTGCAGCTCTGGGGTCTGCGGGGTGTTTGCAGGCCTCGGTACCCACTGCAGAACAATCGGGACCGGAGTTCAGCAAAGAAAGGAAAGCGCGCTTTGGGCGCAGAGGTGCCCGGGCGAGGGGCGGGGGGCAGTACCGCCAAGGCCCTGCACATCGAGATGTGCAGTTACTGGTGTAACAAACGTTGAGTGCCAAAAATCACGAGTAACTACTGACAGTGAAAGCTAATAGTCATGTAAGCATTTTCCACACTGAAGCAGAGGTTTTCTGCTTTAAAGCTGTCATGATTACCGGATGGACTCACCTGAGGCCAGGCTTAAGTCCTTTGGAGGTGTCTTCTGGCGAGCAATTCATAAATCGAGGAAAATGGGCAATGAGGAATATGGGCTCAGCTCACAGTTTCACACTGGCTTTTTACTGGACCAGTGACACATTGTCAGTAGTAGCCTTTCATTCTAAGCAATCGCAGGTCACCATGGGTGTTTTTTAATCGTGCAGAAGGGTTCTTCCCTTCTGTAGCTAAAATGTTGGCGCTTATGACATGCGATACAATCTCTTTGCAATGTACAGAGCAGGAACATAAAGGAGGGTCTAGTATGAAACTAAATGGACTAGGTGGACTTTAAAGGTCTCTTTCAACCCAATATATTCTATGGTTCTATGATAATAGATGAATATACGGAGATCAACACCCTGGGTGCAAATGGCAAGGTGTATCAGTGGTGAAGGAGGGTCCTAGCTCGGCTTTATTGTTACATCTCTGACAGGGTCATTAGAGCATCTGTCATGAGTCTGATTGGGTTTTCATTGTGTCTTTTTTCTGGTACCTCGCTCCTAATTTTTAATAAATTCTCATAACGAGGGAATTACATTGACCTGAATGCTGACAGAGGTACTCCTGAAAAGAAGTAGTCTACTTAGGAAACTCGGGGGTCATAAGAAGTTTTCAGTAATTTGTGAAAACAGCGTCAAGGGGAACACCGGTGTGGGCATCCTCACGAAATCTCCATATGCTTCTCCTTCTGTTGCTCTGTCTAGGGGTCTTTGTGTCAAATGAGCTTTTCCCATAAAATGTAGCTTGCTCTTGGTGCCTTCTGAGATGGGGCTTGTCAAGGCATGTAGTTGAAATTATGATTTGCTTGTTCTCTCTTATATGTTGTGCATCTTGGTCTGAGAATGAGCAGTCTTGAGGAGGAAACTCGTGGTACAACGTTAACAATTCTTCAGTAGATGTCTTCTGTCTCCAACCTGTCCTCCTGCCCCTCAGGCACAAAATGCAGCCAAGTTACCCTAATTGCAGTCTTCTGTGAAGTGCTTGGCAGTCAGTTTTGCATTGTGCAGTGTCTCTCTTTGGATGCTTGTGTGGAACTGGAGATCATTCTATGTAGGGCATCATTATGTGCCCCCCCCCATCCCGCCCCCTGCCTGTGCTTAACAGCCGCAGCATCAGCATGATGGTGAATGTGCTTTTGAGAATAGTTGGGGATGTGCAGCAAAGAATGGCATTGTGTAGACTAAGGGCTACAGGAAGAAAGACTGGAGCATGAAATATGCCTATGAAAGTAGCAGAAAATGGGAGATTTGTGAGAGTTCTGTAGAGCAAAAGTCACGGAACAGCTGGGAGTCTTTTCCCCAGGGTAACTGTAAACAAAAACATATAGGGATTTTTGTTTGCTAGTGTGCATCTGTGAAGGTTTTCCTGAATAGGTGTGGGATGATATGTAGCATCAGCATTTTGTGCATGGGCAAGAAAACACAAAGAAAAGGTCAGGCTTCACTTACAAGCTCTTTCTGTTTCTGGCAACAAGAGGCAAGAAATCACACATGGTCCGTTAATTCAGCAGATCCAGATCTCTTGGCTTCTATCCTGAGGTGCTATTTTGCATCCTATTTGGCTGTTCTACCCACCGCAGTTTGCGTGCTTTAGCCACAGGAGTGATGATGAGACCCGAGGTGGCTGTTCAGCACTTGAATGCTGCTAATCTCTGAGAGAGGAGTAGAAATGCTGAAGGTGCCTCATGGGTATGTATCTTCTTCTCAGAAATTAGTTTGAAAATTCAGTTTCTGCGTGGAAAAATGATACCAACTTCTGGTTCAAAATGTATTTGTTTGTCAGCTGACGTCATCCAAGTGTTCATCTGGTGTAATAGTCTCAGCTTCAAAAACACGTTCTTTGGGCGCTCTAATAAAGTTTTATGGAAACAGAACCAGCAAGAATCAAGAGGATCAGACCCTGTCCTTGCAGTGAAGCGTCTCTGCCGAATTCAGGACTGTAAATAGGAAGAAAACCAAACTCAGTCATTGGAAAAAGTTTTGCATTAAGCCTTGGCCTCAGCGCAGGCAGCA